CAAGGCTTCTAGCTCCTCTTGCTTGTTCCTCATGCTACGCACATTTGTGTAGAAACATTTCAAGAACGGTTCATTGTACCCATCACCTCATGGAGCAGTCTGAAGGATCTCACTAGCATGCAGGCTCTCAAACTTTGGCATGCCATCCCATTGCTTGTTGCTGACTGACCTGGTTTTGTCCCTTTCCCCCTTCCTATCTGGTTTAAGGAAGGTTATAGGTCCATACAGAGTTAGCACTAAGAAAAGTAGAATGCATTTTTAACTCTTCTGAGTTAGTATCTTTTTGGAGGGGGAAATTTACTTTCAGAGTTTATTTGGATTTTTAAAAACAAATTAGAGCAAAAATAGTATTTTCTCTTTCAGAGAACTTCAAAAAAGGAAAATTTAATAATAATGGCTATCTTGTTCCTGCTGAAAAAAAAACACCAGTAATGTTTTGTTAAATGTAGTTAAAGAAAATGTAACATGCAAAAATGTAACTGTAAACATTGAAGCAAAGCCAACATAATAATGCTGTAGAAAGACATGAATTCCATCAGTGTAAAAATATTACTGTTGCTAGAGAACCTTCTCAGTGGTGTTTTGTTGCTCCTACAAGTTGTCAAGAAAACAGATTAGTTAATTTTGTCCTGGGATAAGTTTGTATCCCAAATGCAATGAGAACTAGCAATTATTTAATGTTTAAGTGAAAATGTTTTAAACCAGCGTATTGAAAGAAACTAAACTGGAATGTCTCATAATGTCATCTTGAGTAAATTTTTAGTGGACAGTGCTGTAAATTCACGTTCTTTACATTGCGTAAGGCTCAGCTGACTTGGTGCAAGTCAGACAATGGCTAGTGTTGGTTTTCTAAAAGCAGCTAGACGTCCATGCTAGCAAAAGGCAAGTATGCAACTTTACTATAATAAAATGATGTGTACCAAAGGTTTCTTCTTTTATGTATACCTACCGGTCTAATGCCTAGATTAACAAAGAGCGAATGACTTATTTGTTTTGGTGAAATACAATGCTAGTAAAGTTACTGAAAATAAATAAGTAAAGAAAATCTGCATTTAATGGGACATTAAATATATGAAAGAAACCCACCTACGACCACTTTTATTATCTTGTGGTTACAGGCGTTCATTCTGCAGGATGGTCCATGTTATTGTTTTTAGCAGTATTGTAAGGGAGAATTATAAGGAAGGGTGTTTTAGTTTTTTCCTTCTCTTCCATTTGTCATGTGTACTCGTTTTGGCTGGGAAAATTTAATTTTCTTTGTAGTAACTCCCATGGTGCTGTGTTTTGGATTTGTGACCAAACTAGTATGGGTGACACACTGATGTTTTAGATGCTGCTGAACAGTGCTTGCACAGCATCAAGGCCTTTTCTGTTTCTGACCCTACCCCACCAGCCAGACAGCTGGGGATGCACAAGGAGTTGGGAGGGGACACAGCTGACCCCAGCTGACCGAAGGGGTATCCCATACCAAATGACATCATACTCAGCAACAGAAAGCTGGGGAAAAGAAGGAGGAAGGGGGGATGTTCAGAGTTAATGGCATTTGTCTTACCAAGACCGCTACATGTGATAAAGCCCTACTTTTCTGGAAGCAGCTAAACACCAGCCTGCTGATGGGAAGTTGTGAATGAATTATTATTTTGCTTTGTTGGTGCAAGCAGCTTTTGGTTTACCTATTAAAACATCTTTATCTCAACCCACAAGTTTTTGAACTTTTACCTTTCTGAGTGGCTCTATCTGGCTTAGCTGCCCTCTGGGGTTAACGCACGACATCATGATAACACTGTTTTGCTGATGTTGTGTGGGTGCATCATACTGGGTACTCTGGCTTGGCTTATTGAAAGGTTTCAACTCCCAACACAACCATCTAGTAGTAGATCTGATGAATATTCGTTCATCACAAGAAAGTGTGGTCTAAGTACGTCCCCTAATTCCGCTAGATGTTTGTGATCTACTGCCAAATGCCAGAATAAATCAAGAGATCGATGTACACTTCTAACTCATTTTGATTGAAGTGTTCCTATCCCATGTTTGTATTGCTGTTGCTTCTTTTTCTATGTAGAAGTTCCACCTTTCCTATTATACAAATTATTTTCTCTGAAAGTTTGCTTTGTAACAGCTGTTACAAGACATAGCATTCTCACAAGGAGCAAACATATTTATCCTGTACAAATACAAGTAAAAACTACACTGTAAGTTTGACCTTCATGTCCTATTTTAAGAAAAAATGTTGATTTTTTTTTTTCCCCTCAGTCTTGTATATCAGTATGTCAGTCTCCTAAAAAATCTTTTTAATTCATGACTTAGTGCAATATCTGTGCCTATTAAATGCAAAATTGAACCCCAAATATGAAATAATTTTAAATGTTTCTCATGAGATGCTTTCCTTGCTAACATTTAAGTTGATGAGAAATGTCTGTTGGCTCTACAGACTATTTTCAGACTTTAAATTATGAAAGAAGTAGATCATCTTATGTGTGGTGTCTCAAATACGATTCTTTCTAATAATTCAAAAATGCTTTTTTCAGGAAGGCGTTTCAGTGCTTTTATAAAGCAGAAGTGGAAAGATGCTGTCCTTAGTTGGTTATACAGAAGTTTATTAATACTTATATTCCTTTCGCTAACAGTCTGAGCACTGATGGGAAAGTACTCTTCCATGTTCATATGTAAATCACAGAGATATATTCCAGCAGCAGCAGAAGTATTTCTTACAAACAGAGAATTGAGAAGTTATCTCACTGTGTACGTTTTCCACAATCAAATATCTGTTTATAAATAATTCATTAGCAGTATAGAAAATGTATTTGCTTATATTTTGCAAATCAATATGGAAACATGACAAATGTTTATTTACATGTGAATTACTTTTCCCATAAGTTATTTCCTTTACATAATTTATCATATTGTGAACTACTTCTTGCTGGCCTGTTGACAACAAAAAGAATCAAATGTCAGTCATTTGCTAACATTTATACAATGAGCTTTTGCTTTGAAAAAAATTTGCTTAAACATAACATTGCTGGAGAACTGATGCAATTGCTGTAGATTTCCTTTTATTATGACTTTCCTACAGCTTCAAAATGAAAAATTGTGCCTACCTGAAAACCAAAATTTCTCTTAAAAACTTTCAAACAGGGTCATTTTGACTTTTTTTTATGAAGTGCAAAAAATAAAAAGTAGCTGCAAGGTTCATTAAAACTATCCCTTTCTTGAAACAGTTGTTGAGTTTTATAAATCCAGAAAAAAAACTAAGTTAAACTTTACCTTAGATCTGTGCCACTCGTGTCTAGTATATTCTTATGGAGGTATTTACCAAATTCTTCTCAATTGGAAGCCTCTAATTTTGTGTTTGCTTTCCTTGATCACTATAGTAGTTTTTTTTAAAAGCATTTCTGCTTCCACCTTTCATAACTAGCTGAAGGACATTTTAGCATTACCCACTCCATTACTGTCCATTGCTACTGTCTGCTCTCAGTCTCTCCTCTTTCTTTTTTACTCTTCCTCCATTGATTTAGTCGCTGTCATTTACCATTTGCCTGAACTCTTTTCCCATCTCTCTGTTGAAAAGGTCTTTCTAATTAATCCTCATTCTTGATTTTACATTATTTACATAATGCGATGTTTACTGTGATGGAAATAATCCCACAGATAATCCTTGTTTGCTTTTTCAGTCCTGCTTTCCCAAAACTCTCTGACTGGCAAAGTCTAAATTACACGTAGAGACGTGCTTAAATTCCCCTTAGTCCCCACTACTTCTCTACTTTTGTTTAATCTAATGGTCCAAATTCCAGACATTAACTTCTTTTTTTCCAATGTCTTTTGTAATGGTCCTCATTTTCAGGAGGAAATCTCATAGTATTCTACTGGGGTAATCTTCCACACTGGTCCCTTTGCGAGTGTCTTTGTGGCAGCAGTAGCGAAAAGGCAGAGCTGTGCAGACGGTGAAGTAAATAGGCTGAAACAGCCAATCTCACCTTCTCAGGATTACTCCATCACTCCTTGCAGCCTGCTTCTCCTGTTTGCTTCGCCTGTACCTTGAATTAATTTTGTGTCTACTCTTCCCCTTTATTGTGTCCATCTTTCATAATGACTTCAGACCTCCCTGTGTTTTATTTCTTCCCAGGGAGCAGAACAACATACCCATTTATCACAAAATATCCCACTTACCTTCCAACATTTACTGTCTCCTGTCCATTTGTAAGCAACTTAGATTTGTTTTATCTAACATCTCCCTTCTGTTTCCCTAAAATTACTTGAAAATTCCATCCAGTTCCTTACCTTTTTTTTTTCCCCTTTTCTGTGTTTTCTAACAAATTGACAGGAGTGTTTGTTTTTTTATGAAAGTGTACTGTCCATTGAGTTTTGCAGCTCACTGTATTCTCATTCTGTTAAATCTCTCTAACAGTTTTGTCAGTATTTAAATCAGTGGATTATTGTCATCCTTCCTCCCATACTTGGTTTCTGGAAAACGGATTTTATTTGAAACTCCAAACCTTACCTCTTAGGCATTGCATTTACCATCTCAATACTGTTTCCCTGAATGCTTAGAACAGGGGAAGCTGACTCTTACACACACACACACATTAAAAAGTATGATAAATGGTGTGCTATTGCATGATGGAAAGTCAAAGAACTGATTAGTTCTAATTACATTGGATACTAACAGGTGCAAAATGAATTTCTAGTCTGTGGTACATATCTCACAAAACCTGTAGTAACATACATGCATTGTAATTAATATTTATATAGTCAGCATCACAATTTTCCAAAGAAATTTGATAGAGCTGAAAGTATTTTCATTATTATCTTACTATATGTAAATGAAATTTAGTTATAAAATGTTATGAAACAAAATCCTACAGAATAAAAATCATTATAGTTTGCAAGTTAGAGGTTTTAACTTTGTTATAGTCATTCATTGATTGGGGGGGGGAGGGTTATGTATAAAATATTTTACAGAAATGCTAATAAACCTAGGGTTGTTACTTTTCTTTATTCAGAGCCTCAAACATGCACTTTGAAAGACTTTCTTTGTGCAAATGGAGACTGTGTTTCAGCAAGATTCTGGTGTGACGGAGACTATGACTGTGCAGACGGCTCAGATGAGGTATGCTTCTTCCAGGAAAAATAGTTTAGAAAATTAGTAGTTTTATATTGTTGGACAATGGATTCCCACATATGAATATTTTAAAAAGCAGCCATGGGAATTCTACACATGAATCCATACATGCAAATATCTTCACTAAATGAAAACTAAACCTATTGAAATAATTATCCTAAAAAGAGAACATGCAAATAAAATCAAATCATGTTTAACAATAGGCTACATCTTTTTGTCCCAGCAGTGATCTGGGCCTCTTCCCATCCTGGAAATATTTTGTGTCATGATTGGGGAACTACTCTTTCTACACACAGCAGTATTTCGGTGTGGTTTGTGGATTATTTTGAGAAAACTATGTATGCTGTTGTGTAGCAGAAGCTCACTGGATAATGGTTTACTGGTTTTCTGTTCTTTGCTGTCCCTTTTGTCCCTTCTCCTTTCTTGCCAGTGCTGGACCTCAGGTGCTTCCCACCTACTTAGAGGGTGCAAGCCACCTTTCATGAATCATATCGACACATATATTTTATTTCACAAGGCATTACTGTATTTTTCGTAGTGTGGAGGAATACAGGATGTAACTTCTATGATCAGCTGTATACTAACCAATGTTTATATTAAACTCTTTATCTTGTATGTACGTTGTTTTTATTGTACCAGAGGTATTGTGAAACAGGCTGTTCAAGAGATCAGTTCCAGTGTTCCAATGGTCAGTGCATATCAGCGAAATGGAAATGTGATGGTCATGAAGACTGCAAACTTGGGGATGACGAGAAAAATTGTGAACCAGGTATTGTGTTAAATAATGCTGAGAAATAAAATGAAGCAACAATAAATCAGAATGAAACAAGGAGAAAATAAATCAACAAATCAAGAGTCCTTGGGCACTGGAAGTAGCAAGGAGTGCAAAGAAATCTGAAATACTTTTTCTTTTGAATGTGTATCACTGTGTCTTCCTACTTGTGTTTTGAAAACCCCATTTATGTACAACTATGCAATATGAAGCTTGCTGAAGGAATGGTATTTAATTATATTGAAATATAATTTGATAATGTGTACTCAGCATAAAGTTCTGCTCTGAAAGCAGTGGTAATTCTTGGCATGTTACTAAAGTGTTTCTGGAGGTATATTGCTTTGTGGTGTTCATTCAAAGTTTACTAGTCATTATGCAAAGGTTTTCTCTAGCAAATAATTATTTTTGGTATTGTTTTATTTCTTTTTTACTGTCTTGGAAAATGCAGTTGTTTATTTTTGTGGGGATTTTTCTAAATTCTTTTGTAAGCTTTGTCAAGATAGAAGCCTATGACAAAACTTGCCTGATTTACAGTGCAACAAAAATATCCACCTATATTTTAAATAAAACTGATTAATATGTATTTATTTTAATTGTAATAATGTACGCTTTCTAAAACCATGGTTTCTTATAAATTTAGCTTATTTAATTTTAAGCACTTTACATAAATTTAGCTAAATCCTAAGCCCATTTTCCAAAATGCAATTTTTTAAATATACTCATTCTATGAATATGTGTATGTGTGTAGTTACCATTGTTAACCAAGCATAAGGAAAACACAAAAAGAAACTTCTCAGTGATAAAACACAAATATCCTAACATTATACAATTTGCTTAGGATGCAACAATTCAGTTTTGAAAAATATTTCGTTATAGTTTACAAACGTTTGGAAAAGCTCTGGTCGGCTACAAATACATGTTTGCTCATTATGCTAACCAGATGAAAACATTAAATTATAAAGCAATTTAATTATAAATTGTCTTTTTCTTAATGCTGAAATATGTGTTTGTAACCAGCATCTCCAACCTGCTCTTCAAGTGAGTACGTATGTGCAAGTGGAGGCTGTATTTCGGCATCTTTGAAATGTAATGGAGAATATGACTGTGCTGATGGATCTGATGAGGTAGCTGACAAATTTCCATTGATTTTTTTTTTTCCCTACTGTCTGACATGAAATTTGTTGCCAGTTTTATATCTGAAAATAATTAAAAAGGCAAATGGGGTTTTTCTGCATCCATTGAACACTGTCAGATAACTTAGCCCCATGATTTTGGTTCTCTGGTAGTTACACTGCATTATGTTTGTTTGCTCTGTGGCCACCCTTTGGAGTAGATAAATTTGTTTCCTCCAAGTCAAAACCTGAGTGTGGTTCTGGGGGACTTTGCTTCAGGAACTGCTCCGTACTGGCAGCGTGGACAGGTTTGTGTCGCATTTGGCTCCCTTTGTCCTCTAGATTCACCTGCTACAATCCTAGCAGGCGCCGTAGGCCTTCATGCCATGCTCTTCCTACATATTGCACTGTTGATGTATTTTTTTAAAAATTACCAGCTTCATGAACAACTTCAACAAAAAAAGACCAAAGATAGTTGCTAGTTCTCAGAGTCATAAAGGTGCCAGTTCAAGTATGCAGGATACCTGAGCCAAATGCTACGCAGAGCAGATGAAGACAATCCACTGTGGAGGTTTCTAGTCCTGATCAATGTGGATATGAGCCAGTTCGCACTAACTGCCCTCATGTTCATGGTTATTTCTTCTAGGGCAGATGACTCCAGAAACGTAAATGTAGCCATTGTTTCCATTGCTAGTACTAAGCAACATAAGGAAGTGATATCAGAATATATATAATGTGGTTACAATTTCACTTGGACTTCAGTAACTATTTAAATTGCACATTACGTTGTCAGGGACAACTTTATTGTATTAAATACATAGGGCAATGAAAACCAGTGTTGGTCAATTTTGTTAGGTTTGTCTTAAGTATGTTGTTGTTCTCATTCATTAATACTTAGCTCATATCTGTATTCACACAGATGGATTGTGTAACAGAATGTAAAGAAGATCAGTTTCGATGCAAAAATAAGGCCTACTGTATCCCTGTCAGGTGGCTTTGTGATGGCATCCATGATTGTGTGGATGGCAGTGATGAAGAAAACTGTGACCAAGGCAAGAGACACTTTTCTTTAAAAGGCTTGCTTTATTGTTTTTTTTTATTAACAGACATTGTAAGTTAGTAGTACCCTGGCCATTCGGAGGGATGAAATGAAAGCTCTGTGACCTCTTTCGACAAAGGCAGTATAGCAGCTTCACAAGCAATTCGCAGGACGAAGCAAAACTTACATCTTTTATGACTCACAGCTCATTGTTCCTTCTTTGTCTTTCCTTCCCCAAGGACCAAAAGGCTGTGTTATTACTGGAAGCATATTCTGTCTCATCAGGGAAATTGGTAGTAAGTCCAGTTAATTTACAGTTTTATAGGCAACAATAAATTACAATGCCATGCAATATAATGAAAAATTGCGAAATAAGTAATCTTAAGACCCCAGTTTTCTGTTTATTTCTGTGGAGATGAAATGTTGCAACTAATCAGAATCCGTAGAACTGCATTTTGAATTCTCACCCTCCTTAGAGAGCAGAACTATGCACGTAAGTTGATTCACATGAAGCTAAACACTACGCTCAGACTTTCAAGCTTATGATTAAACTTCCAAATATGTTTTTTGAGCAATACATCCGTTGATCTAATTCTCATAGTTGCTGCTTTTTTTAACTGAACCTTGCTTCAGCTACCAGACAGTAGCAGTGTAACTTTGCACGAAATTCTTAGTAAGTGTAGTAATTCAATAATTGCAACAAACACAGAAATTCTCACTCAAATTTAAGAATTCTTTTCAAAAGCAAAATTTTACTCAACTGTCAGCTTCTTGTTTTTTCCAGATTTTTCTTCCTTCCTTTTCTTTACAGTGAGTAGTTCTGCATGTTAGCCATCTACAGTCACGATATGTGTATAACTTCAAAAGTATAGTGCAGTACAATAATAAGCAATAATAAGTAATACTAATCAGAGATTAAGCAAGCAATTACAGTGTAAAATCTCCTTCCATTATTTTGTTGTAAGTCTATTAAGCAACACTTACTAGGAAAAAATACAAAAAGGTGTTATATGGGATGATTAAGTTTGAAAGAGAGACCAGAAAATGGGAAGAATGTTCCAGAGATGTTTAGATGAAAAGAGAAAAACATCGTATTTGGAAGTGTTGAAGAATGAATTGTTTTAAGACGGTTGAGATAACAAAGTTTTTAAAAACTTCTAGTCTGTTTTAAAACTGCTTTTAAAATATCTGGACTGTATCTCTTTAAAAACCAGTGAAGTGTAAGTAAGTAGTAAAGCGTTTATTTTATCTGAAGCCCACATTATTCTTTGGATAGCATAATGGAGCTTCTGTGAACTGCAAATTGCTTATAATGCAATAAGAAGCCTTTTGCCTAGTTGGTTATTGCTATAATACTTTGTATTTATGTCACAATTATGATTTCTGTTATAGAAATCTATTCTATAAAGAAGTTATGACAGGCAGAGCAATCACATGAAGCAAATGCCACTTTATCTCACTGATAACTAATCTTTTCCTCTTTGGAAATACAGCAAACACAAATGGAGTTTTATTCTACAGTATTCTAAAACAATCTCTGTAATATTTATCTGTAACCCACTGTGCATATTTATAAACATAGCTCTTTTTAATCTTATTATACAACTAGAATTATGGTTATTTTGTAATTACACACACAATTATTTATATTCATGTCTTTCATCATGAAGAATATTTGAATTTTATATATTTTTCCTTGGATAATAATATTTCTGTTCATGTTCATAACTTATATTTGCAATGGGAGTGAACTGTGTGTGGTAGCATAGTGTGAGAATTCCCAACATCCTCTTACACGGTAGGTATTTCATGCAAATTAATTCTCTTGGAAAAAAAAAACAACCAAAACCCATTCTGAACCCTTTATAGCAAAAGAAAGCCTTCTGTTGATTTTAATGGAGTGTGAAAAATGCACTGAATGAATAGTAAAAAGCCACTGAAGCCTGATCTGACTATTAGGGTGGGTGTAATGCATTGAGGTAAGCCACAGTGAGAGTTTTGGTGTTATCATATAAGATTTTATTGTTTCCTCCTCTGCAGATACACAGCTTTATTTCTTTTATACTCTGCTCCTCTCAGGGAACTGAGAATCCAGTTACCATAAAAATGTGTTATATAGAAAATTAATTTCAAGTTTCCATAACTTCATTGATTGGTAGTGGTAAAATTTAGTCATGATTTTGAAACAGAATGCCTTCTTACTGCTACACATATTAAAACAGAATCCAACTTGAGCCAATTTTTTAAATCTTGAGCACTCCAGATTAAAACATTTTCTCTCACTCTCTGTTCCATTTTGTTAGATGATTCAGAGTTCAGTCAATACTGAAGTTACATGGAAGGATTTATTCTTGCTGCATTGTGAGTTCAGTAAATATCCTAATGAGAAATTTCAGAAGTTACAAAGAGGAAAAGACTGTTAGAGGTCACCTAGTCTTATCCACTCTGTGCCTACACGGGTAGATCTTCCCTAATTACAGAGTTTATAGTTGATGAGGATGTTACAAGCCTGACCAAGCCTATTATTCCTCAGGAGAAGAAAAAGGTACTGCCTTATGGCTAAGGGACTGCAATCATTTTGTCTTTTCTGAACCCGATGTGTGGCTCAGAGAGTGGGAGTAGGAATAGCTTGAGGATCACACATTCATGTGAGACAAACCTGGACTGAAGTGACCTTTCACAAGTTTGACTGTATTTCTGTCTTCTGGTTTGTACCATTCTCTGACAGCACAAATTACTGATGTACCAGCCAGGTCTTTTCTGAAAGGCAGCATCACCAAAGGAAGTTACAGACAGAAAGATAGTTTAAACATCTCCTGGCTAAATGCAAGGGGAACATGCCTAGCTGGTGAGTTGTCAGTATGTTTCTTTGATAACTGCCCTTTCTAGTGAGGCCAAATACATAATTCCTAGCTGACAGTCATGAAAAGAAAGTGAAAGAAGTCTATGGTCAAGGAAGAGATTTTTAAATGAGTATTTCTCTCTGCCTCTCCAACCCTTTCATTTGGGATTTGTTCATTTAGTTATGCTACGTGTGTCGTTCTCTGTAGATAGTTTGCGATAAGTGGTTGTACTGGTTTTATCAAAAATTGACGGTCTTTCTTTTGTCTTTCTGTTTTCCTGGCTTTTTTTTTTCTGTCTTCTTTTCATCCTTCCAGGGGGAAATGTATGTAGAGCTGATGAATTTTTGTGCAACAATTCCCTCTGCAAACTACATTTTTGGGTTTGTGATGGCGAGGATGACTGTGGAGATAACTCTGATGAAGTTGCTGAAATGTGTGGTATGACATTATATTTTTCAGTGCTTTTCGTGTAAGAAAGAAAGAACTTACATGTAACATACATAAATATATAAGGATGTATGCCTCTAAGTTTTCTTTATTTTACTTTTAGAAGATTAGTTTGAAATATGGGATATAGTTTTCTATTGTTATTGCTACTCATGTAATTTCAGGTAAGATATTTGTAGGAAATTAATCTTTTTGTAGGAAATGCACAGATGGGAAAAAGTTACTTCAACATTGAAATGTTGATCATCATTAGACTTCCTACTTCCTTTGTTTTATTTCTGTCATATTTACTGATTCTCAAAAAGAAGTGTAATTACCCTTATCTCACAAAATAATTTCTGTCCCTAAATGAAGAAATTGTTCTGTAAACATTATTGAAGTGTTATCCCATTAGGTACCAGAAGTTAAAATCAAGTACCATTCATATGTCAAGTACAACTCTGTTCCCATGCCTGCTTATTGCTTTGATAAGGAGACATTAAAGAAGGTGCCGTACTAGCTGGGTAATAGCTGATTCTGGTTTTTTAATATACAGTGAAGTTTCCATGCCCTCCAACAAGGCCATACAGATGTAGAAACAACAGGGTTTGTCTGCGACTGGAGCAGATTTGCAATGAAGTTGATGACTGTGGTGATAACTCGGATGAAGATCACTGTGGTAGGTGATATTACCTTTCAAGGCATTCAGATCAAAGAAAACAACTTGAAGGCAAACTTTGTTACAGAGATCTGCTTGTCTTTCAGTAAAGCTTAGCTGGAGGTTAGTAGATCAGAATTTGAAATTGAAAGAAGTTAAGCTTGAAATAATTTCCAGTTGCTTAATGTTTCATGGTCATTCCCATTTGTATGTGTCTAAAATAATCTAAGAATCTTAAATACTGATTTATTTTTCTCTTACTAATTTGCAATTATATAGATAAAATCACATATAAAGCAAGACCATGTAAAAAAGATGAGTTTGCTTGTAATGATAAGAAATGTATTCCAATGGAGCTACAGTGTGATTGGTTTGATGACTGTGGAGATGGATCAGATGAGCAAGACTGCAAAATAAGTGAGTTTGGCTGACAAGATATGTTTTTGTGATTGTAGCAGAAAAGAAATAATTAACTGAGACTTTCATCCATGCAAAACCTGCTCAACAACACAGAAGTTAATTAAGTTGTGGGTTTTTTTAGTTAAAAAAAAGTTGATTCTATTCGTAATAGCAGAAGAAGAAGGCAAATTTTATAGCAATTCAGGTTGTAGTAGTGTTTAGAGTAGTTCTTGAGTTTTTGAGGTAGTTTAGCTATAAATTGGTTGTATTTTATTTCATATTTGCAACAACATAAATGTTAGTATTAAATTCTTTATGTGAAGTATCTCAATTAAATACTGTGAATTTATATGCATATGTAGGTAAATACTGTAATGTCATATATTTGTTTAAAATTTACCTGATGCTCTTTTAACAGAAAGATAAATTTGTTATTTGTTGTTGTTATTTTAGATCTCATTTTTAACAGTTTAAACAAATCTATCAGCGATTTTTTTGACTTTTTTTTATGTTTAGGTGTTGCTGAATATACATGTGAAGATAATGTGAATCCTTGTGGAGACGATGCGTACTGTAATCAAACAGAAACATCCCTACTGTGTCAATGTAAACCTGGATTTCAGAGAAACAAGAGGAATAGACAATGTGAAGGTACAGATCTTTTCCATCATCCCTTACTGTCAAGTATTTCTGTAAAGTCAATTGTGTAGTCAGTTTTCTATGCTGGAGAAGGAGATACATACTTTTTTCCGCAGAGTATAAACTGGTTCCTAGCTATGGGATTCAGAAATCACAAAAAGAAACTGAAAGGATTTACAGGATGTAGATTTATGCATTTTACCTGGAGAGGTTATCAAAGATTAACATTGGTTGTGGATGTTGAACGGTTCAGGTCAGACCATTAAATGATTTTATGATTTAAGGGGTAAATGGGTGATTTAAGGTCCAGTAGATTATTTAACTGAGCAATTGGGACTGCTGTTTAAGTTAGTATATAAGAATATTTTGAAATGCTTAAAATAATGAAGATGCATAAAACAAAATTGAAATGAAAATAAACAGATTGAAAGTAAAAATTCCTTAGAAAATGTAGTCTTAATATATATGTCACACTGGTCAGAGAAAAAGACATAGTTGTTATAATGAAAGAGTTGATCAGAAAGATAAGATAAATCTACCTTCCCAAGGAAAGGGTTGTGAATTCCTTTTCTTACTGGTGAGCGGTAACTTACCGAAAAAGTGGAGATCACTTCAGTGGGACTATCAGAGCGAACATATACTTGCATACAAAAACTTCACTTTTTGGCTCTTAAGAAAAAGATATACACGGGAGCTTTTCCAGTAAGGGATAATCATGTAGTTTTGACTGTACCAGAGGAAAGTATGTTGGAGATAATTGTAACAGACATTTTCATTCTCAAAGTTGATTTCAAGCTTTAATGATAATAGGTTGATATAGCAAGGATGGAGAAATAACATAAAAAAAAACTTTCTGATTGCGGCAGAAATAACATTAGTGATAATTGCAGAGTGTGGGTTTTTTTTTTTATTGTTGCAAGATATACCAATGCTTACAAGTTCCTTTTGTTCATCTGCTTTGTTCCAAGATTTTCCAAACATGTTAAATAATTATGTATTAAACTATAGGTATATAAATTGCAATTCTTTTCCTCATAGATATCAATGAGTGTATGGTATTTGGTGCCTGCTCCCAACACTGCAGTAATATTAAGGGATCATACAAATGTGCATGTGAGAAAAATTATAAGGAGAGGAATGACAGTTGCATAGCAAAAGGTAAGGCTATAAAAATCAAAATAGAGAGACAGTACTAAACAATTTGTTATGTACGTGGTTGGTAACACTAATGTGTTGCATATACAAATTATTTTTAGATAAATATTGCTTGAATAATGCACAGAAATAATTATCAAAACCACTCAGATTTACCTTTCATTTCAGTAAGCAGTAAATTCATATCACTTCCTTGTAAATGAACATACTTGATATGAAAGTCCATTTCCAACTCCAGCTTTCTCTGTTTACAGAAAGATAAACACAAATGAGAAAACCAGAGACTATATATTAGCAAGCCTGTAAGCATTATGGTGAAGCTTTAGAAGCTTGAGAGAAGAATCAAGTCTTCATAGAAACATGTTTTAGAACTTTGGGAATAAATTAAGTTGTATTTGAAATAAACATGTTTTGGTTTGTCTTGTTGAGAAATCTCACAGAAGTCATTTCAGTGGAGTTTTTCTAAGTATGGTCACTTAAGAATATACTCCTCATGTAAATCAGCTGCCTAGATCATGGTCTGGAGAAGGTAAAGAAATATGCACACATAGTTGTTATTTCTGTCTTTCATAAGGCAGAGGTATTGCACAAAATGGAGGTAATAGTTATGTCTGGGTATTACGTAACTTTTAAGTCATTTTAGAAATGAAACAAGCAATAATCCAGCGGCCTGAGTAAAATTAACATAATGTTTATGGATCTGTATCTGAATAACTGAAAGTATGATCATAGCATCTCACCTGCAATTTGGTGAGATTTTGGTGTGAATTTGGCTTATAGCTATACTTGGAGTCTTCAGTGCGGAACAAGTGTTGAAGTTACAAGGGGTGGCTCCTTATACAACTCCGTGCATACCTGGTACACAACTATGAGCAGTACCTGATCTGAACCTTATGACCAGTAAGCACATGTTGTGGACATATGTCCTAGAACCATAACAGATTGCATCATGTCAATTCCAGTCAATAATGTAGGTACACCCATGCTGCATAGTTAGATGGTGATAGTCAGATTTCTTACATGATTTGTTCATGTTTTCTTGAAGCAAACTTACCATGGGAAGATCATATTAATGAGTCATTAGTAATTTCCCCTATATGTAATGTGGACTTTATCAGGATTTAGCATCATTGCCTATTACTGAAGAAGCAGTCAGGATGTGACATGGGAATGAACAAAGTTACTAATGGATGATAGTGACTTGTTATAGAAACACAGACATAATTCTGAGGGCTGATAATTTAAAAATCTAGGAATCATTATCCTACATCTGAATTTTTTGCAAGCTTCATTTCCATTATAAGACAGTTAATGTTTCCCTCTTTCACTCATTGATACTTACTTTAATGGAACTTCTCTTTCTTCATGTGTTTAGCAGTAGTGAGGGAACAAATCATTTTTGGTATTGCATACTCATAAAGAGGAAATGTGTTGGACAGATATTACTATAAGTTGATTCTCTACAGATAAATGTGATAGAAATTGGAAAACTAAAGAATTGCAAATACATTCTAATGTATTCAGCAGATTTGAAACTTTCTCGAAACTTAATTAATAGATACGAGAGGGCATTTTCTTATGAATAACATACTTTACAACATCTGAATCAAGACGGTAACTAGGTATCCATAAATATCACCCATTCACAGGTATCCATAACTGTTCACTATCTGAAATGAGGAGATACAAGACACAACTGCATATATTCTGTAGCAGCGTTAGTCCAGTTTGCTCATGTTGCAGTCAATTTCAAAATGTCACTGCCTTCACTAAAGATACCATTATTACACTTTGAATTTCCAATTAAGCAGTTTAAAATAATGCTTATTGGCAACTTTGTGTTCCTTTAATATATACATTTAGGATCCTCTAGACATACCATGTGTATAAAAATATGTAGTGATTCATAAGGGTTTAATGCGTAATATCCCCTATTTCTGTATACTGCTTAAAGTGTTCAAGTTCTTATATTACATACTCCTTAAAATACAGTCTTAGGTGTCACAGTGTGAGCTTAGAGAGCATTCAAGTAATATATATTGATATCAGAGTATGAAGAGTTGCATTTATTGCCCAGACTGTAAGTGTTTTTGCAGTCTTCAACAATCAGAAAATAAATTTAATCTAAGAAATTATATCAGATAAACATCAAAAAGCTACTTGAGTGAAAAACACTGATTTTGCATTAATTGACATTTACCTTATTTTTGTTTCATTATAATAATCCCTAGGCTCTGAAGATCAAGTTCTCTATGTTGCTAATGACACTGACATCCTGGGTTTTGCATATCCATTCAACTACAGTGATGTTCATCAGCAAATATCACATATTGAACATAATTCAAGGATAACTGGAATGGATGCATATTTTCAAGGAGACATGATTGTATGGAGTACTCAATTTAATCCAGGAGGGATTTTCTACAGAAAACTTCATGACAGAGAGAGAAGGCAAAGTAACAGTGGCTTGATAGTAAGTGATCAAAATAAAAAATAACAACATGTGCTGATTTAGTAAATTAAAATGTCTATCTAAGAGAATTCTTTTGTTCAAATGGTATATATGTCTATTAATGCCTTTCCATTCAAGACTCTGACAGACTTGGTCAAGTCTCTAAGAAAACACAACTATAGTATTTAGAAGTTTTCTACAGAGAAATAAGCAGTAGGTTAGAAGCTTGGAAAGATAGCATACTGTCAAGATTTTTTATTTTAAGAGAGAAAAGAGAGGATATAATAGACATATATAAGCAACACATGGTTTAAAGAAGGCATTAATTTCAAATCCTTGGAATACAGAAAAGGTAGATAGGCCAAAGCCAAGTCAGATTCCTATAGTGACCATAGAAACGACGATACTGGCAAAGCTATGACAAACATTTAAAAATTAGAACTATAAGTATGTATTCCTTTATATGTTGAACTGCATAGTATGTTCTTTGAATAAGCATACGTGTAATTTTGCACTTTACAACAGAAATGTGTTTTTTTTATAACCCAGGGTAATTTCAAGCAGTCTTTACTTGAAAATAAAATAAATGCAGATTGATACTCATTTTGCCTAATATATTTCTACAAAATTCTCAAGGAAGTGTTAGTGCTGAGCTGAAGATAACAATGTGATCTTTACATTGGTTTTTTCTTGGCCAGTAATAAATCAGGTTAGAAATAACAGCTGTATGGCTGTTTCCTTAAACTTAGGAGAGGTAACAGTGATGACCTTACATCACATGAATGCTTTTATATACCCAGTAGAGTAAACAGCAGTAGCAACAGCAGACTAATCTTTCATCTGTCATTCAACTCTTACACATCTGAAACCACTTCTAAGTACCTTTCGTCCAAGGATATTTCCTTTGCAAATGAATGACATTCCTGACCTTTGATGCCAGCAGGGCAAAAAGCCTGCTAATGTAGACAGCAATGGACGCTGAAGATACCTTGTGTCTGTGATGGTACATATATGGGAAGAGTAGTTAAAAACCAGCACTTCCACCTGCCCAGCAGAAGAGTCTAGATTTTGTTGACAGAAAGTTTACGTAAAGTAGATCTAAAGTAGAAAATTATTCCTAGTGTTTCTAGTAGGTCAGGTATGTCGTTTGAATTTTGGGGAAGGATACTTTGAGAACCTAAGTGTGTACTGAAAACGTGGAGTAATTCTACTGTGCTATTTTTCTCATTTAAATATGTGGCAGATACCTGTGCCTAAGAAATCCTAATAGACACATCTCTGTATCAAGTTCATTATTAGAAAATAATGAACTTGTAAAGTCTTGTGAAGTTGAAGTGTTGGGGTTTTGATGTTATTTATTTATTTTATTTCTTTTTGGTTAATATAGAATCTTTGGGCTGGAAGGGACCTTTAGAGGTCATCTAGTCTGATGCAGATGCCTTCTGCAAGGATAAGTGTAGTCTGCTGACCCACAACCTCTCTAATGGATTGACACTTTCTTATAGGTCTATAAAATTGAACATAAGCTTCCTTGAGACTTCTTCATAGTCCAGGGGTTGAAATTTTCATAGCTGATTTGACATTTTGTCCCTGTTTAAACTAATGAAGATAAAATATTCTACAATTACTATTATTTTTCTGAAGTACTGAAATACTATTGCTTTTCATATCTCTATTTCACCATTATACAAGGATACTTTCGAGTCACTTCCTCTTAATTCATTATTATTGAAAAAAATATGTTTTCCTTTATTCACCATTTTCCCCTGTCTCTTCAGTGCAGGTAGGTGCTCGTGAAGATGCTTGATCCAAGCCATACAATGCTATTTTACAAATCTCTATGTGGAAAATGCACAGACTGTATTTGAATGTGTCTTGGACACATTTTAATTTGTATTTGTGAAACATTTACTTCTCGTTGTGCTAAACTATTCAGAATATTCAGCATTATCTCATTAGTACTCAAATATTATTGCCTTATATATAACTGATCAGGAGGTTAATTGGTTTTATAGTGTTGCTTTAATATTGTCACTTAAATTTGGTTTTGAAAAGCTTGAGAATTCCTTAATTTTAACCCAAGTTTTTTAATGGATAAGTTTTCGAAGGTTACATTATAACTTTTATATCTAGACTTTGATATGTAAATCAGGACAGTAAACTTGAACAAAGTCACCTGCATTTTCAGGTAATTACATTAATGCAAAAATCCATCTCAACTGAAATTGCTCCATGGAATTAGCATATCAAGAGCCTTCCTCAGAGAATAGCTTTAAGTATCTCTTGTATTTTCCTCTGAAAAGGGGTTTAGGCTTGTTACAAATTGAAGCATTAAAGGAAATAGTAAATATCAACTCTTCAGAGCGTATTGACAGATGCAGAAGAGGTTTGAATTCCAGTCCAGTTAAGATGGTATAAGTGATTTGGTGATAACTGGTACAACTGTTTACTGGCATAATCTTTGGAGAGACATATGTAAGTTATCTGAGGTGAACAGTCAACACAGAGTGACTTGCCACTTAAACTCAAGTGACATTTTTCATGGAAGAGGACACAAAGCTGAACATTAAAGTATTTGTACCATATAATAGGAAGAAAAACATAGGTTTTGTAAGGTATCCGGTTAGTATATTAGCAGCATGCTCCAAACCCACTGTCTGAGAGCTTAACGAGGACCCTTAACCACTCTTGTGGTATATCCATGTATATACTCCCACCATTTGCCCCTGGGCCCAGTGAAATTCAGTGCATCACTCTGAATGGAAACAATTTCTAGACTGTTTTCTCTAAATAGCATTAAGTTATGGTTTTACCTTAACGCTCTAGCTCTGTATGGATGAAGCTTATGTACTTAGGAGACCCTATCTTTCTGGAATCAGCTAGTTGGGATTTTTAAATGGTACTGCTTATGTAACACAAATGGTGGTTTGGTGGGGCATTGCACCTACTGGGCTGGTCAACTGTCGAGGAAAATTTTCTCTTTTGGCAAGTAAGAGTCTAAATATTTTCTAGTATTATTGTTTCTCATATATTTTTAATGTTCTACTAATATGTCATTAGATAATGTATTATTTTAATGAAGATATTTTAAGCAACGGTAGATCATTGGTTTACTTTATTCCACAGCAATGCCATACCAAAACCATCTGTAGAGTAAACAGAAAAAATATTGCTTCACATGTGCTTATGATATAAATGCCATTTGTAATTAAGTCTTCCTGTGTTAAAATGCTAAGCATTGCAAGGTGATGGGTTCCTGCTGCATGTATAATGTATTTTTTCCAGTCAAGCTCAACTTTAGGGGTTGAAAATTTTTCTGTAATCCACCATTATTATCAAAATGGTTTCCAAATCCAAGCTGTTACTGCAGCTTCTTCTTTTTTTCCCTTTGTTTTTCTTTTTCTTTTCTTTTTTTTTTTTTTTTAATTCTTTACTTTCAAAACAAGTTTTACAATAGGTGTCAGTTCTGATCAAAAGTCATCAAGCTGACAAGGTCTGTAGTTGTGTAGAGTCTCCCATACTATAAAAGGCGATTTATAGTCTCCCATACTATAAAAGGCCAGTTTTTCTAATAAGTTGTTGTTTGTTATATTTAGCATCAAAGTGGGCTAAAATAACTGTAGACAATGTTAATGTGATTTTGTTCCTGTATTATCATCCTTATTCTGTATGCAAAATCATTCTTCAAAATTAACATAATCCAAATAAGCTATTAGGTAAAAGCTCATTTACAGTAAGTAATTTTCCTAGACAGTATGAGAAGATGCATAAGACATCAGAAATGTGATGTAGCTAGGCTGAAACTTAACGAACACAACTGAGAATTACACAGCCATAGCACCACCTAGTTTTTTATTCTCTTTTTTTTAATCTCTTACACCAGATGGCTCCTTTCCGTTTCTTCTGGTTATCTCCTTGTTCATTTGTTCTTTAATATGCACCTCAGCATTACTGGAATTTCACTTCTATTGTATAGTTGAGAAGAATGAGAAAGGGTCAGTGTTAGTAAGCAACTCACCCTTGTTCCAGAATCTTTTTAGGATGTCCGTGTGTCTCATCTGCTTCTACTACCAGCTTTCTGGGGACTGTTTCTCACTCTGCGTGGTAACACCCATCATGTGCTTACCAGATTCCAAAAAAAGCAGTCTTACTGTAAACAGTCGTTCTTGAACAGTCCAAAAAAAGGCAAGGACCTGTGCTGTCCATGATAGCTGCTCTCCTTTTAAAAGAGTATTTGGTTCGAACCTTGTAGGCCGGTGCCATTACACCTTGCAGTCTCCAAAGAAATAACTGGAGATCTCCAGCTATGTGAGACTTCTTGACACAGGTGCCTGAATATTACTCAGAATTAAAAGGAATTTGGATTAAAAATACAATGATGCTTATCTGCAAATGCCCACATTTTTGGGTATCTTGTCCTTTACATGAATGTTGCTTGGATAATATAACAAATTATTAAAAAAAAAAAAAAAAAAAAAAGGTTGTCGCATGCAAATGCTACATTTCTTGAAAAAAAAATAAAAAAACAAAACAGTTTATTTTTGTGGTATTTCTGGAAGCATATGCTGCAGGTATCATCATTTCATAATAAAGAATTACGATACATTATTTTGTTTAACTTTAAAAAAAATGACAGTGACCCTGGTTTTAAAGAAATCCTGTTTTGTAAATGCAGTGGTGGATTTTGCTGCTTTAGTAGTCATCTAAATAGAAAGTCTGGGTTCTGTATATCTTTAGCACATGCATTCTATGATGTTTTTGCAGAATTAAGGGTTTGTGAACAATGAACTATCTAAATTGACCCTTGCAGTTCTATTATTTCACCTAGAGAATGAAATTACCTTTATTTTATGATGAAAATAGTCTACAAATGTCTTGTGATATTAGGGAACTCTAATAATTGAGGAAAACACGTTATTTGAGGATTTTTTTTTCCTGATTTTTAGTTACGTAGCTTAGTAGCATTCCATTACTGCATTTGTCAAGGAATAGTCATTTTTTTGATGATAGTTTAACTTGATGTCATTATAGGTAAACAGGCAAACAATTGCATATATATTTAGCTCATGTGGGTCATGAACTTTTTATGATATGCTGCTTTCATGTTAGAAGTAGTTGGGTAGTCCTGTTTTACAGATTTTACTTCTCTCTGCAGGAATTCTACTAAACTTTAGAGAAACTTGTTCATATGTATCTCCTATTTGCAATATGAACTTCTTTCCTTAGGACCATTTTTTAGGATCTAGGCCTTCATGATAACTGTGAAATCATGACAGAGATACTACAGTTTATAATTTCAAAGTTATAATCAGTCAAGCCTCTTTTACATGTGAAGCTGAATATTGCACTAATTCTAGTTTTAATCAGTGGTGGAACTCAGCAACAGTTAACAGCAAGGGAAGAGAAACATTAAAAAAAAATGTCCTTACAATTGCACACTAGTACTGGTCAGAATACAGAGGCGATTTTATGCAGTTTTCTAAATTCAGTGATTTTATTTATCCTTGGCAGACTGCTGAGCAGCCATACCTCAAGGTGGTCTCAATTTTCACTGAGGGCTTTGGGATATGACATCATACCATAGTTCTGCATGGAGTCTAATAGCTCTGTAATCTTAATTCTTCCTTTTCCTTTCCTTTTGAATTACTGTATGTAACATTTATTTATTTGCTTCAATATCAATAGTTCAAGTAGTTCATGCCTAAGTGCCTTTTTCTTAATGTAGGTGGGCTTAGACTTGAGAAAACGGTTTTGAACCATTGTCTTGTTCTTCTGCATTGAATAGTACTGTCAGAAGACCACTTAGAGTTTATCTCCTACAGGTGGAATTTATGTCTTTCCAATGCAGTGCTTTTAAATATTTCACCATATTAAAGGTAAAAGTTACTTAACTGTAAGAAGTTACATAAATCTGTGACTATGCAGCTGCTGTGAAAGATCATTTCTGTAAATCTGACTTTAACATCTGTTCCTTTTAGTGTCCAGAATTCAAAAGACCTAGGGGCATTGCTGTTGACTGGGTTGCTGGAAATATTTATTGGACTGATCATTCCAGAATGCATTGGTTCAGCTACTACACAACTCATTGGACTAGTCTGAGATACTCCATCAATGTAGGTCAATTGAATGGACCTAACTGTACAAGACTGCTTACAAGCATGGCAGGAGAACCATATGCAATTGCTGTAAATCCCAAAAAGGGGTATGTATGTTTCAACGTGACTCTGTTTTGGTAATTGAACAAAAATGCAGAGTAAGAGAAATAAAATGATGTCTACAAATGTCTAAACTGTTCCAAGTCATTTACTTAATTTTCCTGCTCAATTTAGCTGTATGTAAATCAGGATCAGTTATCTCCCATCTTTCAGGTAGGTTGAAAGGCTTGTAATAATTTAATATCAGTGAAGTGTTTTGAGGCTCTGTATAGGCAACCAGCTTATTTTTTATGTTTAATCCTTTTAGGATGATGTACTGGACAGTTATTGGGGATCGCTCTCACATAGAGGAATCATCTATGGATGGTACTCTGAGAAGGATATTGGTTCAAAAGAATTTACAAAGACCTACAGGTATACATACAGCTTATCCATTTCTCCTAATTACATGGCACTTGCTAACTCAGTGTAAATTTGTTGGCTGAATTCCAGTTTCTTTGTTTAGGGAAAAAAACAAACAAACAAGCAAAACCAACAAACAAACAAAATCCCCACACTTTAAAAAAATATGTATTCTAGTTATTCATATGCAGTTACTAATCAAATTCTTAGTTCTATTTTCAAATGATCCATCTAATATGACTTAAACTTTTGTAACAAAGGTTAACATGATGATTTTTACAAAGCAGTTTCAAAGGACTATATATAATCTGTTAAAATATGATTTGTTCAATAACACAGAACAAGCAAAATCAATTCAGGGAACACCAGTTAGTGGCGAGACATATTTTTTTAAGGATACATATGAAATCTCACAACCTGTTCTAGTTACTTTCCTGAATACACTGCAAAATAGTATAAACCAAGGTTTAGGTATTCAAAGAAGCAACAATTTAATTATCTCAGTATTTTACAGAACTATTTTGAAGCTTGACAGTACATGTTGAGATCTTGTGAATTACCATTAAGACTCCATTGGCAGAATAAAAGTAATTTTTATGACAAAGGAAATGATAAATCCAGAATGAAATGTATCTCTCTTAAATAGCAGCATCCCATCTTGAAACCACAAATGATTTGTTCATGACCCATTCTCTCATGCAATATTTGATGTTTCTTTAGGCTTACAATGATAAATGGTTATTATTGCATTGCAAATTAGAGATTGTCCAACTTTGGTACGTGCATCTATTGAAACATAGGCTTCTTTCTAGAAGATGCTATCTGAATATCTAAGCATCTCAGAAGCTGTCACTATCACAGCAACAAGTTATTTTATATTTTAACAAACTTAAGTCCCATGCTAACTTGAGCTTATGGTGTTACATATCCCAATTGCACTCATCCCTTAAAGGAAATAGTCTTTATTGACATGGTTAGATTGAAATATAGCAACTTAAGAAATTACGTATGTGATAAGGAAAGCTTTAAGTAGAGGAAGCTTATGCTCCTTAGGTAAGTAAGAAGCACAATAGTAATAGTAATAAAAAATACATAGTCAATAGTAAATTCAGTAAGAAGCTTCTGATTATTCAGACTGAAAGGCAACAGTATTTTACGTTTATTAGGATTGTTACAAATTCTTTACTGAACTTCTCACATAAAACATTGTGAACGTATCAGATATACAGATCGTTAGATTTAGTTCTAATTGCTGGAGTTGTGCTTTTTTGTCTCTTATTATCAGTCTAGTTGATTGCCAACGTTACGTCCTATGGAACCAGTCACTACTTCCTTGGTCATTAAAGGGTGTTTAAGCCCTCTTTTGTTTTGTTTTGTTTTGTTTTGTTTTTTCCCATCAGTATTGGATTAGTGAATTTATTGAATTTTGTAGGTAGTAATGGTATCAAACTTATCTGAAAATGCAAGCATTCACTTCTTCCCTGACCGGAAGCAGAACTGCAAGAGCTTTTCTTCATAAAATTTTCCTTGATATATTTTATATAGAAAAGTTGCATATAAACATTTTACCAGACCTCTATCTCCTTACAAGGATGAATAAAATGAAAATTAAGAAAATTAGCAGAATTACCAAAAATGAGCAGAGTTTGCAAAAAGGGAATTTCTCAAATGCCTTACCACAGGATTGCATTTTCCTGTACCTATGGCTGAAAACACTTTTGTGGCATCCTTCTGTGCTTTTCTTCCTTTACTTCAAGGTAGAAAGTACACATTTATGGAGTCGTAATTTTTCATCAGATATTTCACACAGATCCATGTCTTTCTAGAGGGAATGCAAAGAAAGGGTCCAAGCCTTTAGTATTTCCTCCCAAACGAGACTGTACTACTATTCTTTAGATGAAGTTTAAGATTTTGCTAAATATATGTGTTCCACTGCTCTTAAATGTATTACTAAATATGCCTTTGCTGTTTCAAGTAAGAGACGGTGAGAGTTTGAGCATTTGGGTTTGACTTCACAGGATTTACGTAAAAATGACTATCACAGGAGTGCTGTCCATATAAAACAAAAATAAATACTTTTTTTACATTATGTTATCTCTGATACTGTGAAAGATACATTGGGAATATTATTTATTTATTATTTGATATTTAAATATTCTTACTAAAATGCAAAGAATAATTTAAAGCTGGAGAGTGGAGACTGCTTCTGAAATATTCCCCCTTACAGGTACCATGTGTCACGCAGAGTTGACACATTGTGATTGTCTTTTACCAGAAATTATTCTCTTTAGCTGATTATCAGTGTTTCTTTTATAGAGTTTTTTTTTTTTTTAAAGGAATTGCAAATGTAAACATATTTCACTGGTCTGGGCGTCAGAGTTCCTCCACTTCCTCTCATCTATCTGTAGCTAGTTAATTTATAACCTTAAGAGGAGCATTTCTGCTGTTATGTATAATTTCTTTTGATGTTTTTTCTCTGACTTACTTCCTTACATAAATAGGAAGAAAACACTTTTTCCCGTTCTTATTAAAAATACACTATAACTTTAAAAGCTCAGAATTAAATTATTTTACAGTTCAAATATTTTTTCAGGCTGAAGCTTTAGACATGACCTAAAATGGCATATTAATCATTTAATCATCCTCTATGAAACATGGACTGCTTGATTTAACTGTTTAGTTGTTGCCTAGAGGCTGGGTAGTCACAATGTTATCTATCTTTTATTCTCATTTGTGCTCTCAGTCACTCACTCTTGTGCTTTCTTTTCATATGTATGCAAATATGTACATCTGTCAATATTGCTATTTAAGTCTTGCAGGACTAATGTAATTAAAATAATCTGATTTTTAATTCTGTAATAATTACTGTGAAGTATTGATGATAAAAAAGAACACAATTATATACTTGTGGAGACAGGATAGGTTAGGAAGACTCTATGAAATTTGAATGCCTTGTTTTTAACGTGTGGTCACACTGGTGCTACTGCATAGAAATCTATTGACGTAACATTTTCTATTGGTAGAGCAAATTACAGGATTAGATTCTATATTTAATTCCCACCTGGTATATATCCCTACCTGCTGAGGACAATGGATTTGAAAAGGTATTGGCCTTGGAAGAGTAAGTTAAAGGTAAAAAACAACGGTTGCCTCAAGGGGAAGGTTTAAGTGAAAGGTGTTGTAGTTTATTCTCCTTGATTTCCAGTCGTGCTTTTTCGTTGTCACCATATTTTATCTTCACAAGAATGTTAATGATATAAAAATGTATAGTTACATAAAAATATTTTCTTCTTCAGATTTTAGATACCTATTTGAACTTTATTTTCTTTGTAGGTCTCGTAGTTGATCAGTTCAGTCAGCGTTTGTTCTGGGCTGATTTTGAATTGTCTGTTATTGGCAGCGTCCTTTTTGATGGTTCCGATTCAGTTGTGTCTGTGAGCACTAAACAAGGTATGGAGAGCTTTTATATAAATGATTTCTATTTTATTTTATTTGTCTGAAGTTTCACTATTCAGAGAAACTATGTAAGCAAAAAGCAGTGATTATTAAGTCATGTTAGTTGCTTTTGTTAGATAATACTTCAGATATCTAAACAAAAAGATATTTAAGGTAAGATAATTTTAGCTTTAAGATAATCTGATAAAGTTACTTTAGGGGATCAAATATTCAGTGATATATGCAAATCTCCAAGTTTGGTATCTGATCATTAGCTTAGGTATTATCAAATAACATTGTGATTAATTTTTATGCTTGACCTCACTTGGACTTACATAGCAACAGGAGCACCTTGACTAGTTAGAAATTAGAGCTGTCTGCATTGTACAGGAATTGTGTAGTTTATAGAACAGTTGACGTGAATCAGTTCTGGGAAAAATAATGGGTTTGGCTTTCGGGTCAGTAAGTAATCACAGAATTCTGCTAACAGAATGTGAATGAGGAAAGTTCCTTTCGTAAGAAAAGAGATTCTGGTTAAGTGAACTTTGTTTTTATAGAATTGCATGTTGACTTTATAACAAGTTGATAATATATGTAACAATTTATGAAATCTGAGTAGAAAAGAGAGGAAACACATTAAAAATTTTAAAAACTTGAAAGCAGGCTTTTTGGGAGAAGTGCTTAGTAGGCAATTGGTAGTGGAATTTCATCAAGATGATATTACATCTAGTGCTACTGAATGTTTTAACCAATGATCTGGAACTCACCAGAGGGTTCTGGAAGATACTAGGAAAAATCTCCCATAAACCAAATTGAGCAGGACCAGATTTAAATAATCTTATTCTGGTTTAATAGCATTTTATTTCACAACTTGGATCAATACACATGTAAGTAGTCTTCTCAAGGATCACTTGTAGTATAGGGATATGACTACCTGACAAGTTGAACATGAGCCAGCAATGTGCCTTCATGGCCAAGGCCAATGCTATCTTGGGGTGCATTAGGAAGAGTGTGGCCAGCAGGTTGAGGGAGGTTATCAGGTTATCCTCTCCCTCTACTCTGCCCTGGGGAGGCCACATGTGGAGTCTTATGTTCAGTTCTGGGCTCCCCAGTTCAAAAAAGACAAGGAACTACTGAAGGGAGTCCAGCCGAGGGCAATGAAGATGATGAAGGAGCTGGAGTGTCTCCCTTATGAGGAAAGGCTGAGGGAACTGAGTCTGTTCAGCCTGGAGAAGTGAAGACTGAGAGGAGATCTAGTCATTAAGGGTGGTCTCAAAAGGATGGGACCAGACTCTTTTCAGTGGTACCCAGTGACAGATTAAGGGGCAACGGGCACAAACTGAAACTCAGGAAGTTCCATCTGAATATGAGGAAGAACTTGTGTACTTTGAGGTGGCAGAACACTGGAACAGGCTGCCCAGAGAGGTTGTGGAGTCTCCTCCTCTGGAGATATTGAAAACCTGCCTGGATATGATCCTGTGTAACTTGCACCTACTTTGGCGGGGTGGGTTGAACTCAGTGATCTCCAGAATTCCCTTCCAACCCTGATGATTCTGTTATTCTGTGACTACAACCTCCTGTAACACTGAACCACAGCATGCAGATGCCTGACAGCAGATTTTAGAAGACAGTAGCTCCTCCTCATAAGTTTGCTTGAACCTCTTTTGGTTATAGTATTTCAGGGTGGCTAGGCTGTAATCTTATCACGAAATACATCCTTAATGCTTGTGTTCCATGCTTGTGGCTGGTACAAAGACTGACAGAGTATCCTACATTGTGTTTTAATGTGTCTCAATAGTAATTCGTATTTTAAGAATAAATGTGAGGTTATTCTTCAAAGGAAAAAAGAGACACGACAGTGCTACAGAATAGAAGGCATGTAAGTTGATGACTGTCAAAATATTTTATAGCATGGAAGGGCTATATTACACTGTGCCAAATGCAGCAAATTTGAGGTTTATAAAGGGAAAAGTGGAATGCAGAGACTTTGTTACTTCCATACATAGCATTTGATACTGAACTACAAGATCACTAAATCAATGTCACCTTTTGTCTTCTGTTGACATTTATAGTTACTATGGAAAAATTAGAGAAATAGCACCAAAGGAAAATTGGCGGAGTTTAGAAATTGCTTTTCAATGAGAGTAAAAACTACAACCCATTTAATTAAATGAGCATGAAATAATGAATTGGAATTTGTAAATATTTTTATTGAAATAAAATTCTGATACCAAGTATTGATAGAGTGGAAAAACAGTAGGAACAAATAAAGGCTCGTAATTGAAACTAAATAAATACAAGTGAAATATAAAACCACTTTTACAGTAAATGGGGATAGTAGTAGGAATAAAGTTATCACAAGGAATCATGGTTTCTGTTTCTTTATGGCTTGAAATCAAGAAGAGATGTGTGTCTGGCAAAGAAGTTTTAGTGAGAAGCTATTGCCTTGTTACATGGGAAAATGTGTGAAATTCTACAACCAGTTGTGCATAAGACATCCAACTTTAGGAAATCCAACAGTGATCCAATTGGCACTTGTAGCTCTTAAAAATGAGGAACTGGTAGAGTCTTAATATTTTATTTTGGATTAATTTACTATAATTATGAATTAAAATAAGTGTAGTATGAAAGCTAGTATTTCAAATATGTTAAGAAGAACCTGAAGAAATGTTTTGCCAGAATGGTTTCTTTCATGTACAGCAAAATAATCTGTGTCTTCCTTGTCACATACTTCTAGTCAAACTGTTGTACCTAACTATGTTCTAATTAGCTAGTTGTTACTGTAGGGTTTCCCTACTTTTCCATAATCAACCAGTTTCTGAGGCTGAATTGTGAGGAAAGCTAATGCAAAGCTTGAGATTTTAGTTGCTTATAGTATGGGAAGAGTTCCTTTTAAGAAGATTGCTTCTTTAAAGGCGATCTTTGTGGGTACAAAATAAGCTGTCTGAATAACAATGTATTTAGGTGATATTGAAGTTTTTAAAACAAAGTTGTTTGTAATTTTAATATGACTATGTATTTGTATTTATTATTAAATTTTATTTAAGGTTTACTGCATCCACACAGAATTGACATTTTTGAGGATTACATATATGGAGCAGGTCCTAAAAACGGTGCATTTAGAGTGCACAAATTTGGCAGGAGCCTTGTAGAATATCTAAGTGTGGATGTTGATAAAGCAAAAAGTGCCTTGATTTTTCACCGCTACAAACAAATGGACTGTGAGTAAGCATAATTACTTTAAACTCGTTATTGAGCAAGTTCACCTCGGGGCGGCGCGGGGGGGAAGTAACCAAGTTCCATACATATAAAAAAGAGCCCAGATTTAGTCATATTTCTTTATATAAGTTTGATTTGGATTTTGTGAGGCATTTTCTCTCATTTGAAAGGATATTAAAAAAAAATGCTTGCTTTGTGTACCCACACTGTAACTGAGGTATAAAAAAAACTAGGAGAGCGCTGAATACAAATACCTCTAACCACAACTAGATGAGGCTTTTTATTGCATATTACCAATACATTTTTTGTTACTGGAATAAATTCTGTCCTGGTGTAAGTCTTTCACTGCCATTTGAGTGTGTTTGCTGACTTCAGGCTCTTGATATCCTGGAAACTGGAAGTGTATCAGAATATTTATATCTGAATATTTATTTTTTTCCTAGTTCTAGAATATAGTGTAATTCTTAAAAAAAAAAAAAAAAAAAATCAATATGTTTAATATTTTGTCTTTTTAAACAGTGCCTAATCCATGCTTGGACCTGACATGTGAATTCATTTGTTTACTCAACCCTTCTGGTGCAACATGTGCTTGTCCAGAAGGAAAATCATTGGTGAATGGAACATGCATTGATCAGAGCCTCTTAGGTAGGTATTGAAAACCGCATGAGAACCAGAAAATAAACAACTGGTCAGTTTTTGTCATTGCAAAAGGCTAGGCTGTCTGCAAATCAAGAGTTTTGTGATGTTGTTCAATAGACATATTACTTATCTGAAATGGAAATGAAATATGAAGAAGCCAGATCCCTGATTCAAAAAACCTGTTTATATTCATCAAAATGAAAAATGAGCTTTAAGCTGAACTGATACAAGATGATATTTAAAAGTGAATGTGTAAATATGTCAACCAAAAGAAGTTTGGAAAGCTCTGAAGCGTTTTGGATTCCATATTAAACATTAGCCATTCAGGAGAACAAAATAACCTTAAAGACCAGTAAGAAACATCTCTGTTTAGACTGCAGCAATAGTCAAAAGGCAGTAAAAGCAACATAGCAAATAATAATGACTTTGAAGTAACAGGCAAAAAAAAAAAGAAAAAAAAGAACTGAAATATTTTTTATCTAAAATGATATCTTTCGGTAACATCCTTAATGGCTGATTCCAAGACACAGGAAACCAGACTTCATGGTAAAAGAGCTGCTAAGTTCTTGCTATGTTTTAGCAGAAAAGAAGCTTCTTTTCCATAGAAGAAGATAATTAAGTACTCTAAAATTGGTCCCACTCTAATTGAGGGCAAACCTAAGTGTTCAGACTGTTGGAATGAGTTCTTAGCCAGCTTGAATTTTAAAACATTCTAGAAATCATAGAATAGGATATCTTATGTGTATGAGAAGTCAGAATATATGCTTTTCTAATGTTTAATTCCAGGCTCAGAAGTGTAAGCGATACATATTTGGTGAGATCCTCAGTACTTAAAATGCTCAATTTAGCAATTAAATTAATTTACCTGAAATGTCATCATTCTGTGGAGAAAATCTCACTTATTTTTACTTATTTTTATATATATATA